CGAGTTAACTGAGAGCTTAACACTTTAAAAGATGAACCAAAAAATATATCTAATCAGCTACAAACCCAAGTGAACAACATACCAACTCATCTCAATAACATTAGTTTTCTTTTCCCATCAGAAGTTCTGCTCAGCAATTATATGCGTCTTTTGTCAATGAAAATGGAAAATAAACCAATATTAAGCGCAGTTTTTTTGGCATACACTATCATTCAAAACACGGACCTCCGCGGGGGAAAAACAAAAGTGTTACTAGGTAATGAGAAGGTGTGGGTTGACCCAAGCAGATGTCTGTGTGGGATCTTATCCAGCAGATGGCAGCAGAGAGCAGCCCTGTCCCTGGGCGGTGTGGGTGGATGCAACCAGATGCCTTTGTCCTGTAGTAAAAAATTTGATCTGCCTTTCCTGTCCAAACTGTTTCAGGGTAACCAAATGGTTTGTGAGGAAAGCTTCTCTCTAAAAGAGGAGTCCAGCTAATAAACGAAAGAGAAGTGACAGAATGAGAATATAACTATTTTGCAAACACCTAGGGAAAGAATGATTTAGGAAATGAATGTCAATAGCTGCTAAAATAAACAAGAAGGACACGAATGTTACATGGCTCTTACTAGATGTACACAGCGCCACCTAGGAGCTGTTAAGCTACATTATGTCCTTTTGGCAAAAAATAGTAAATGAACCTTCATGTAGCCATCACTCAGCTTCAACATGTGGTTAATCTTGTTTCATCACTTGATAAGCGCCTCCCCACGATTGTCTCCAAGAATACTCAAAATGCCATAAAACTTCATCAGAAAATATTTTGGAACATATAAATCAGGTAAAAGACTGCTTTTAAAAAAATGTAACCACAGTGCTATTACCACACCTGGAAAAAATCAACACTAACTCCTTACTATAATTTAAGAGTCAACCAGTGTTCAGGTGACCTTGGTTGTTTCATAAGCGCTTTTGTCAGAGGCAGTTTCTTAGAACCAGGATCCGAAAAGTTCTACACACTAGGTTTGGTGGTTTGTGTCCAAGGCCTCTTGTAAGGATGGTGTTGCATACTTGCTGTTCCACCTATAAAGTACTGCGCCAAAAATCAGATGTGAACTGGATGAGCCTCTAGATCTCATCACAGTGATTACAGGGGAGAGAGGAACCTGTTAAACAGCCCCCAAGGATGCAACACTCCAACTACGGGTTATGGAATATACTATACAACACCGCAACGTTGAATTTAAATTGTTTCCCATCCTGTTTAATGTCCCTCTTCATTGTTCTCATACTTTGTATTTTACAAAGAACTTCCACGTACATAATGTCTTCCATCCTCACAGTAAGCTTTTGAATTAATCAGGATAACAGGCATTGTCCCGACCACTTAGGTGTGGAAACTAAGGCTCAGAGCGGCTTTGCTAAAGTCAATCAGAGTCTTGGGCAGGGCGAGGCATAGACCCCACATGCCAGCACACATCAGAGCAGAACAGCGTGGTGAGCTCGAATCCCAGCTCTCCCACCTGGAGGATAACCATGGGAAGGTTTCTACCTTGACTTCCCATCTGCGATATGGCGCTTCAAACAACACTTCGAAGCTCAGAGCCAACTTCAGACCCTGTTCTGCAATGATACTTTTTGGTCTCCTTTCTTGTTTTCCATTTGCCATGCAAGGGGCCATGCTGTACTTTCCAATATGACAATGGAGAAAAGCAACAAACTGTTGCAAACGTTAGTTACCACCACCGATGGTAGTGGTCAGGGTGGGAAAAACAAGCAGAGAGAAAAAGCATCTCGTCATCAGACAAAATCAGATAAAATCAGTGTGGCCTTACATCCTGTTTGCCCTGAGGAACCCCAGGGGTTTTCTTTTGCTTGCTGTCATGATATACCATCCTTTCGCTTTGTGAAGGGGCTAGACTTTGAAATAGCGCCCCCTCTGTGTAATTCATGGTCAGGTTAGTGAACTGCTGCTCTCAGCACTGAAGGGAATTACAAAATCACGCTATTTTAATTTCGTGGCTTCAGAGTGAAAGAACAAAAGTAGATTGTTCTAAATGATTGTTTCCAGAATTATCAAGAGATATTTAATGCACTACTTATACATTCAGAAACTCCCAATGACGTTGCTAATTTTCTTCTTTCTCTGAAGGATGTATACACACCTGTAGGCTGCTGTTCAAAATGGAAAATCAATAACCATTTGAAATTAGCTCAGTGAAAATCAGCAGATAGAAGAATTGAGTTTGGACATTTTTCACTTTATTAAATTTATACATTTGTATTATTGGAAGTTGAGAAGGAGGGAAAGATGGATGGAGCAAACACCTGGGTGAGAGATCTGTCAACCAGGTCTTTCATGGAGAAAGGAAACATGCACGGGGTGGAAATTTCAGCCTTGACATGTCCTCTTTTTTTGCCTCCCAAGTGACATCATATTAAATCCTGGACGATATGACTACACGATATGCAGAGATATGTGGTACAGAATATCTTTGCTAATGCTGCCTCTATCACTTTTCCCCATCCACGCAGTTCAAATGAATCAAGATCTCACCTACTAAGCAGCTTAAAAACATACTATTTATTAGTTTCATGGACAAAATAAAAGGTTTAGAGCCAGCCATAAGGGCCTAGAGGTTAAATGGCGGCAGACTCCATTCTGGCACCCCGGTTTGGTCCCTGAGTGTGAAATCACACTACTCATCTGTCAGTGGCCAGGCTTTGGTGTCAGTTCATATAGTAGAACCAGAAGAATTTACAGCTGCACACAACTATGTACTGGGGCTTTGGGGGAGAAAAAGGAAGGAAAAAAGAAAAGAGGAGGAAGATTGGCAGCAGATGTTAGCTTAGGGCAAATCTTCCCCTCCAAAAATAAGTAAATAAATAAGTAAGTAAAGAAAAATAAGAAGTTTAAAAAAGAGTTAGAACCATTGATTAGAATATTCTCTAATGAGTTCTGTTATCCTCCCCTCAGGGTTGATGTAGCTTTCAGAAGGTAAATTGGTTTATGGTTTTTCTAGAACACAGAATTCTGGGAAGAGGACTGGATCTCAAAACATTGTTCTGTTAGGACAGGTGTGGCACCAACTGCATTTATAATGACTTCACCTACCTTTTTCTGTCAAAAATGAGACCTGACATTTCACTGGCCCCTCCTTTTTAAGATTATTCTTTCAGAAGTATTGGGAAAGCTTATTTTATCGTAAGATCTAGACAGAGGAAGTGAGATCTGACTGTTTTTTGTTCAAAGTCTTCATCGAATTAGATCAAATGACTTTAATGAATTAGAACAACTCTTTAGCTGAGTGGCGGTGATCAAAATGCTGTTATATGTTAATTCATGATTCATCACTATTAATGTCTGAATACTAGAATAGGCTTTTTTTGTTTCTCTTTTTTTGGAGAAGACACATAACTGTAGAAATAAGTTGCTCATATACTCTAGAATTTTCATCACTTTTATAAATGATCCCAATTGTACACTTAAATAAATATAAATGCAAATATTTAAAAAAATAGCTTCTGGACTAGAATATAAAAGAAAAAAGAACGTGTAGGTAAGGGGACAAGGGGAATCTTCGAGGGGAGTTGAGGTAGCAGTAGCTTTCCACCTCCTTTCTTGACCATCTACTTTTTGTCAGAATCTGGAGGCCATGGTGATTCACAGCCTTTATCAAAGGGCTGTTGCCTCCCATCTCTGCCAGTATCCTCACTGTCCCCTTCAAACTGGAAGATTTCCTAGTGCTTAAAAATAAAAGGATGTGAATGCTCTTAGGTTATCTCCAACTAGCACCTCCATGCTCCCTGTTGTTGAATCTGTCCCAAGACCTAGAATAGTGATTACTGCATGATGACGATGCTGGGACACCTTCTGTGCACATCTGTTCTTAGCTCCAAACCTTCTCTTCCTCATTGTTGCTTCCCTGGATGCTCAGTTTCTGGTGTGGCTGCTGCCTCTTTCTCCATCCACTCTCATCTTTCTCCAAGTGGAGTATAAGTAATTTCATTTACACAAATGATCTAAGACATTTTCTCCGGACCAAAGAGCATGTGCAATGGAGACACATGAGATAAACATCACCCTTTCCAGCATCACTGATGTCATATTTGATGTAGATGCTTATAATGCTCTTGAACCAGAGCCTATGCTTCTCTGATTGAGTCCAGACAGGGCTGCCTGGGTTGTGCATGCCTGAGATAATGCAGCAAAACAAACCTCTTGCCTGCCAAGGGGAAGGGGCAGGGGAGCAGCCTTTTGCTTAGCTGTTATTAGAAAAGAAAATCCAGACTCAATTACAAAATCGTTTTAAGCAGAATTGAATTGGACCCAATGGCGTTGATTGCCAGGGATCTGGAGAACAGAGGACAGAAAGGAGGGAGAGAAACGGAGACGAGTCAGATAAATGAAAATCAAAAAGGGTGGTGAGTAAAAGGAGCTGATGGACTAGTGGAGGAGGCCAAGGACCAGGGAGAGACTCAAGGAACAGGGGAGAAAGGACAGGGAAGAGAACATGGAACGGCTTAGGAGCCACCTATATAACTTCAGCAAACGACAGTTTGGAAAATCAGGTCATACCGAAATGTTTTGTTTTTCTGCATGATTTTTTGCACTAAAATAAATATGTTCAGAAGATAGAATAGAAGCAATAGGACAGTTTTATTTATGTTACCATGGAACAAATTTTAATGAAATGCACTTGAGGAAACTGATTTTATGTTAATGACATACTTATTTTACCTCTCTCTTTGATTTTCTGCTACTTCTCTCTTTCCCTGTTCTTTGTTGTTCACCAAACCCACCTAAAGCATTCAGGCATGCTATTTACTTCCTGAGAAAAATGGCTCCATGGTTGTTCCCCCGGCAGTGGGAAAACAATGCACCTACATGTGTCCTCCGGGACTGAGACATTACTCTGGACGGCAGCTCTTCTGGGCACCAGGCCCACTCCCTGCTCAGCTCTATAAAGGAAGCCCTGCTGCCCGCCCTGGACCATCCCAGCCTGCAGCCCCTCAAGGACATGAAGCAATCCCTCCCTCAGTTCGCCCTTCTCCTCATGGCCCTGCTGTTTCCAGGTAAATCAGAAATGCCACCGGGGCCCGGAGCCAGGCTCTCCCCAATGATCACTTCCAGGATGGGAGTCCAGGCAGGGCAGTCAGACACTAGGCCCTGGGAGCCCATTTCCTGATGGGTTTTAGGCAGGAGTCTCTGGCTGATTTGTAAATGAGTCTTTGAATATGCTGACGGCATAGCTTCCCAGGACAGAGGGTCACGCCATTGACTCCACTTTCTTATCTTTTAACTTTGTCCTTCCCATTACAGGGAAGGACAGTCTGTATCAGGAAGGACCTTAAATTTTAGGGGATCTCAACAACGGTATTGGTGATGCCCTAGGGGGATGCTCAGCTTGGCTTCAAGGAGGTACTCAGGCTCCATTATCCTTTCACACATCATTCACCTCTTTGTCTCTCTCTGTATATCTCTCTTTCACACACACACAAGCACACAAATCCACATAACATTGGGTCCCTTCCAACCTACTCCATCCCATCCTCCACTTCCTCTTCTTTTACAGCTTTATTGAGGTATAATTATTATGCAAAGACCTGCATGTAGGTAATGTGTACAATTTGATGAATTGGTCACATGCAAACCCTTGTGGTACCATCACCACAGCCAAGGGAACAGATGTATCCAACACTTCCCAGAGTGTCCTTGTGGCCCTTTGTGTTGTTTTTTTTTCTCTGTGGTGAGAACAGTTAACATGAGATCTCCCCTCTCAACAAATCTTGAAGTGCACAATACCGTATTGTAAACTAGAGGCACTGTGCCGCACAGCCGGTCTCTGGAACGTATCCCCTTACGTGGCTGAAACTTCACCCCCACTGAGCAAAACCCCCCACACCGCCTCCCTCCTTCACATTGACTCCCCCTTAGAGTATAGGTGCTGCATCTTCCTGGATCTGCTGAATAGAGAGCTCTGAAGCTTCTCTGCTGTGTATTTACGCTTAACCAGGATCAGCAAGAGCCAGCTATGTTAACCAGCAAGGTACCAAGGGTCCCAGAGAACCCAGGGAAGAGTCCCCTCAACGAGGAACAAGCAGGGCTCACATGTTCCGCCTGCTAGTAGAAGACTACCTCTTACCACGCACTCCCCCTTACGAGGGTAAGTACAAAAGCTGATGACAAGTTCATCCACCCGGGAACTGTTTAGTGAATGAATAGATGGGAAGGTGACTGTGTGGGGCTGAGCAGTGGTTGAGAGTCAGGACAGGCTGTGTTTCATGAAGACACCATGTGGATGGCTCAAGCCGCCCTACCTGTCAGGAAGGTCATGGGGGTCTTACAGCATCCTCTGGGACTGGATCACTCAAGGTCTCATGAAACATGGGAAACTTGGGAACCTGAGAGGAAAAAATCATCTGAGGCCAATTCTCTTATTTCACCCAAACCCAATAGTCATAGGAGATGATACTGAGTAAGTCATCCCTTGCCTGCCAGTTTGAGCCCTTCTCCCTTGGCCTTGGAGTCCATTCTTGCTACAGGAATTTACTAAATACTTGCAGAGTGCCAGGGGACCAGTGAGTGCTCAGGGAATGGCTCCCGGGATGAGATGGCAAAGGAGAGTCAGAGATGTCAGGCTACTGGGACGAAGCAGAGTATAGGGAATGACAAAGGACAAAAAGCCACTTTTCTGGTCAATCCTTAACCCCTAAACCCTTGTCCAGTGCCAGCTTCCAATCCATATGGACCTTGAGGAAACCATAGATTCCAAGATGTCCTTAATCCAAAACTCATTATTGACCCAGAAACAGGGAAAACGATGCTGGAAGATCAATAGGTGAGAGCAGGGAGGACACATGGGTGTTGGCAGAGGAAACTCAGACACTAAAGTGCTGTAGACTGTAATCCCTGCATTATCCTAGCATCTCTTCAGTCCCTTTGCAAGTGGCCCTCAGTTCCAAGGGACTCAGGAGTTTGGTTCTCTTCCCAAGGGAGGGGAAAAAAATATGATTGGGCCACAAATATAAACAATACGAGGCAGTGTCATTTAGTGTAACAACAAATCTATGAGACAGGATTATTATTCCCATCTGGTGACTGAGGGACCTGAGGAGATTTGAAATATTTTGTCCAGGATTACACAGCTAGTAAATGACAGAGTCAAGACTTCAACCCAGGTCTTTCCAAATGGCGGGTGCAAAGGAGAGGCTGCTGCTGCTTTGGAATGGGCCTGCACTCCTAGCGATTTGGGTGGGGGGGTGGGGGAAATGTGTACTTTCTGTGGTCCCGATGTGGGTCTCACACAGGAGTCTCTTTGCTCCTGTTGAAGAGGGACACAGTTGAGGCCATGAGGCATCAGTAACAACCAGCTTTAGATGTCACCAGATACTTAGGGGCCCAGGAAGGAGTAAGCCCTGAGCTGGAGTGGAGATGCGTCCTCCTGTCAGCTGACTCTGAGCACAAAGTCAGCATGTAATAGAACAAAGCAATAAGAAACTCTGCTCTCTGTTCTCCTTGTCATCCTCTCCTCTGTTACAAGCCTCAGAGGAGACAGACACCTCAGTAATCCAGCTAAGAGAAGGAGAGTAGGTGTTTTAAGAACAGAGCACGTTGCCAACCGCATCCCATGCCCTGCCTGCAGCAGCCCTGAGCAACGAGCTTCAGGGAAGTTGTGTGGGCTTCCTGGGCCTCTATTGTTGTGTCTTTACAACATAAGTATCAACCAGCAGAAGAACGTAACTTCTCTCTAAGGAAGAGTGATTGAGTTGTTTTCGTGCATGTATGTTTGTACGTACGAATGTATGGGTGTTTTTAGGAGAAAATTAGTCAGCCACTTTCTAGCTGGCAAGCAGGATTATTTTGAGTAGATCCAAAAGACTAAGCAAAATCAGAGAGTGAACTTTATAGAGAAGGAGTTTTGAATCCCAAAAAGAAAAGGATTCCTAACAATGGTTCTTTTACAGCTTTGGCACAGTACGACTTAGAAAAATGTGAAAGTTCTCAGCAGTGTTTAGATGATTCTAGGTTCATCTACCGGAGATGGCATAAAGGAAATAGTTCCTGCATTGTGTCAGGGATTGAACAAGACAGATAAAGGTCTGAACAGATAACCTCTCTCTTGAAGAAGCAGAGCTATGTATCTGGAGTTGAATTTATAGTTCCGAACTTGAAACTATGAATTATATGAGGTTTCTAAAATAATCAAAGGCATACAAGTAGACAATAGAATGGAATTTCTAGAAGATAAGGGATGGGAGAAATGAATGGAGAGTTGTTGTTCCACAGGTATAAAGTTTCAGTTGTGCTACATGAATAAATTCTAGAGATCTGCTGGACGACACCATGCCTATAGTTAACAATGCTGTATTGTGCATTTAAAAATTTGTGAAGTGAGGAGACCTTCTGTTAAGCATTCCTACCACAAGAAAAACAAAAGCAAACAAAACAGAAAAAAAAACAAAAACAGACACAAGGAATCTTTTGGAGGTGATAAAATGTTTGTTACCTTGATTGTTGTGATGGTATCACAAGGGTATGCATATGTCCAAACTCATCAAATTGTGTACATTAAATATGCTAAGGCTTTTGTTTATCAAAAAAAAGAAGACTATTGGTCAGACAATGAAGTGATAAAATAATTTTAATTGACTAACCCATTGATTCATTAATCTAGACAAATAATTGCAACGTATATTGGTGAAAAAAATTAGGACAGGAAGACCACAATATGTCTTCACATTTAATTTGTCTTAAGATCAGATCTCAAGTCACTGACAGAACCTATGATAATCAGAGCATCCTGGCATGATGTCCATCAGAAGTTTTCCCCGGATAGATACTTACCACTAATACTCTGATAGCATCCCTCTGCTTGCATTGTGTTCATCTATTTTGTTCTTTTAACATTTGCCCCTTTCTCTTTTCTACCAATTGTCATCATAATGTACCATATAAGAGAAAAATTAATGTTTAATAATTTCTGTACTTGAACCTTAGAGTGAGACATCATTTTCACATTACTCAAGAAACTTGGCACACATTTTAGGTCCCAAATAGTCTTCCAAGCACTCTCTTATGATGAGGGGGAAAAAAGAAATCTCTTTAACTCTTTAAAGCTCTACCCTATGCTACCCTGTTCACCTGGCCTGGCCTAGCGATCCAACTCCCCTCCAGGGATGGCTCTATCTACTACCACAGAGGACCACTGCGCTTCAATACGTGTTTGATAGGGCCATATCACGTCCCAGTTTGCCTCAGAGAGTCCTTATTTGTCTTCTTACACAGAATTCTAAATTATTTAAATTGAAACATTTTTATCATAACACATCCATCACTCTTTCTCTTCCCAGTCGCCTGTAAATTAACAGTTCATTTTTAAGCCAAAATCAAGGATCTGATTTTTATATATCAGATGGTTCCATGGAAACATGAGAGATCACATACAAAGGAAACCTGTTTCTTATCCTTGCCATCTTCCACCATATCCCTTCAGGTAAAATGACCATTTGCTTCTTGAAATGATTTTAAGAGCCTAATGTTGGGTATTTCTTTATACAGATCCTGAACCAGATTTCAAAATTGTCAACTGCAAGAGAAGCGAAGGCTACTGTCAAGAATATTGTAATTATATGGAAGTACAAGTAGGCTACTGCTCTAAGAAAAAGGATGCCTGCTGTTTACATCCGAACTGAGGTTGCTGACATAGGAACCACAGCTCTGTCCACCTGCCTATTCTCCTGGGCCACGTCATCAATCCAGATGCAGGTTTTTGAGAGAAAGGGTCAAGCAGAGAGGAGGTCAGGCATTATAATCTATGCCAGAGAGTCTAAACATTTTATTGTAGCTAAGGAAAAGACTGGCTACACATGATCTTATAGACTTGATCTTAGAGAAATTAACTTAGTTTGAGATGTACAAAATCTTCAAAATCAGGTGATTTTTGCTGACACAGGTGGATGCAATAAACCCTCATAGGAAAACATTCAAGTAATTTGCTCTTTTACTTTAAAAATATTTTCTGACTACCTGCTTTTATCCTAGGCACTAAGAAATGTAATGAATTGGAAACATGAATATGTGGGGAGACAGATATCTAAAGACATAAATACGATAAAATGCTACATATTCCATAATGTGGATATATCCAAGGCAATATATGAGGAAGATAGATATAGGAGAATTAAGAAAGGGTTCCTGGGGAAATTTGAGCAGGATTTTGGAGGATGACTACGAGTTTGTGAAGCGAAGGTGAGAGACAGAGATTTCCAGGCAAAGGGTACAGTTTATAGAAAGGCATGGAGACATTAAAGAATGGTTTGCTAAGTACACGGGGAGAAATTAAACATTAACTGCAAGAGACGTTACGAGTATTAAATGATGCTGGTGTTAGAAAATGCTGGGAAATTGTGGAAGGAAACAAATATTGTGATAAAGACTTTAGAGTGCTACACAAAAGAAGCTTATCAGGTGCTCCAGGGGAGTGACATAATCATATTTTCAATTTTAGAATATTAATTCTAACAACAGAATTGAGGATGGACTGGAAATGTGTGAGATGGAGGTAGGAACACTGGTAATGGATGATCACAATGGGGGAGTCCAAGGACATCCATTCAGTGACTAACGTGGAGGTAATGGCTACAAAGAGGGAACAATTAAGGGGGTTCTAAAGAAACTGAGTTTACAGGTTTGGTGACAGAGAAGAAGGAAGGCTATGGAGTGGATGAGTCATGTTAACCAAGGTAACACACACAGGATGAGGGGGAGCAGGAGGAGCACGCAGAGGAGTAGATTGGTTTTGAACACGTTGGATTTGAAGGGTTGGGGCATTCAAGATGACCAGTATGGACTTCAATGGACTTATATGGATTCCAGGAGTGAGGAGGGGACAAGAAACAAAAGAGTCGAAGGCATTCCCTTGTAGATGGTAACTGAAATCTTGAAAAACTCTTATAATCTATCATCCAGGGACAACTTTCTAGGGGAGCAGAGGGACAACACTGAAGAAGGCTAATGTTCGAGTGAAGCTTAGAAAAGAGGAGTCACTGAGGGAGATGATGAGGGATCTAGAAGATGAGAAAGGAGGAATTCTGGTGCCATGGAAGGTAGTCCAGGAAAGAAAGTGGGGTCTGAGACAACAGGAAGAGATACTGGGAAAAAGAGAAGGGTGACATCTGTCTCCATGTTTTTGCAGCTACCTCTAGCTGAGGGATTGGGCCTCAGGGCACCTGGGTCCTACATCGAATTCAGTTAGCAACATAGCCTGGGAGACTTAGCCTTCGGATGTCAGTGTCTCCTTCTAAGTGATGAGAACAAAAATTTACTCAGGGAAGCTTTTTGTTTGTTTTTGGTGTAAGAGTTAAAATAGTGATTATTGTGAGAGTGAATGGGTGGAGCATATGTGTATATGAGAAGTTTTTAATGGTAGCATAAAGTTGAGATGACTGAGAAAGGACAGCAAAAACTAGAGGACCTCCCCGCAAAAAAGCACATCTAAATATGTCACCATCCTCCTTAAAACTCTCTAATGGCTTCCCTACTGTCTTCACTCACTCCATCCATCCATTCATTCATTCATTCATTCTACAAATATCTCATAAGGATTTACAATGCCCTGATTTTCGTTCTAGATACAGGACATCCAGCAATGAACAAAATCCCCTATCCTCATGCAGCTCACATTCTAACTGGGGAGACAGTCAATAAGCAGGACGTGCCAATAGAATAGGTCATATAGTAGAAAGTGATAAATGATACAGGATAAGAAAAAGCGGGAAAGGAATACAAATTGCCAGGCAGCAGGGTCCACTTTGGGTGCAGGAGTTGGAGAAGTCTTTGCTGAGTAAAGCTTTAACAGAGGTGAGGGAGTGGGCCCTCCATGCGCTGTATTTGGTAGGGGATGGGCCCACATCCAGGAGAGGAAATGACAAATGTCCGGAGGAAGACATGTGCTTGGCACATTTGAAGACCATCAAGAAAAGGACAGTGTGGCTGCAACCAAGAGAACTAGGGGCAGGGTCGGCAATGAGGCCAGAGGGCAGTAGAGTCAGGTGGTGAACTCGGAGTCAGAGGAAGACCTGGACTTTCACTTTGAGGAATTTAGGAAGCCATTTAGAGTTTCCTTGTTTCTTTGTTTTCCTATATTTATAAGGAGTATTTTATTGACAATATTGGGAATGAGGTGTCAACATTAGAATGGGGCTTTCCTGGGGAAATGACCTTGCAACTCTCTTCAGGTTTGCGAGATGAAAACACTGCACATCATATTTTCTGTCCCTTTAAGCCAAATAAAAGTCACAGTGGGGAAAGACCTATTGTGTCATGCGACTCTGAGTGCCAATGTGAGCCTGTGACCACTGCTGGTGACTGGGAAGTACATTTATTAATACAACTCTAAATTTTCATTTTTCATGTGAACACTGTTAACATCAGCAACTTCCACACCCATTCTTTATCCTTAGTCCCTCGCTGGAATCCCATCTGAGTATTTCTAATCATCTCCTCAATCATTTCTTATAGGAGCCCATGCAGACAACTGCACTTCAGAATCCTCAGCCTCATCCTCAGTCCTGTTTGCCCACCAGGTTCCTAATTGTAGTTAACGCCTCCATCCACCTAATGACACAGGTGCTCCACTTAGTTCAGACCTTTATCCCTCTTGAGGCCACTGAAGAACCACCCCCCGCAGTATTCATCTCTTCTTCCCATGGCATCCCTTTCACTGCCTCCAAGGTCAGGTCCCACTGTGGGGTTGTGAGGGTAGCTTGCTGCTGTGTGGAGGGTAGAGGAGGGAAAAAGGCAGAAGCAGGCCATTCATCAGGAGGTTATTGCAATAAGCCGGGTGAGAGTGGCTGTGCCATGGAGGTGATAAGGGGTTAAGTTCTGAATCAGGTAAGATGGGAAGCTAAGAGATTTCCTGACACATTGGACATGGGGTGTGAGAGCAAGTGGTGAGTCAAGGATGACACCGCTCCCAGCACAAAGCCCTGGATCCATAGCGTGGCTTCTACCGCCTACCGTACTCTGACTCCTGCTCTCCTCCTGACTCCCTGAATCCCAAGCACAATGGTCTTTCATTCCTCAAGTGCGTCAGGGCCCTTCTCCCTGGCATACCTTGGCACAAGCTGACCTTTTGCTTTGAATTCCTTCTATGCTGCCACGCCCCTTTACTTGACCTACTCACCTTCAGAGGGAGGTTAAATGTCCCCGTGAAGCCACAGTTAAGTAATGCAGGGTTGGCAAATGTCTAACCCCCACTCCAAGGTGAATTTATGAGTGCTGGGAGCACGTCTGTGCCCTTCGCTGCCAAACTGCAGTGCCACATGTCTTATACATCATATACACGTGTACACAAGTGCTCATGAGTGTTTGTGAGTGAATGAAGGGACAGTGACAGAAGAGTCCTTGGGACAGAGGGAACTTGAGGAGGGGTCTCCAGGCCCTTCCCTGTCCTGGGTCACTCTACCCACAGGCTGGGCTGATCCCTGTCTCTGGTCCCCATGGCTGCTCCTAACTCAGCTAATCCCATGAGGGGAATTTCTTTTAATTGAGAGAAGTTAGACTTTGTATTAACGTATCCTGCAAGTTCCAAATCTCAGTACCACGTTTTGGCTGTGTGTTTCTAATGCAGTACTGGGCAGGACTGGAGGGGGAGCTCTTTCTGTGACTCTAATGGGAAGATCTAGAGGGCTGTAGTAACCATGCCAAGGATGTTAGGAGTAAAAAGCACAGATGGAGTCACACTTTATAATAAGAGGCTATTGGATAGGCCTTACTTCCCTCATTTGTCCTATAGCTAATAATCCTATATTCTACCCCCAATTTCACTCAGATCTTGAAGGACAGGGAGGATTCCCCAGCAGCATCTGCTTTTCAAAAGTAACCCACCAACAAAAATAACCCTGGATAGGCAGGCCCCAGATCCTCCTGTTGTTGTATAGAATAATGTAAGCAATGAGGTAGTGGGAGGACGGCCTCCATATGCAAATGGAGATGTTTATTCCAAATGACAAAATAGAATACTCTATTCCTCACCAGTGAGACAGTGATCCTGAAGGAGGTCAGAGTTAGACGACAGGTCAACCTTGGCTCTGCCAATAGAGGTGACCCTAAACTCTGTGGAACAGGGAATTATCTCTCTTGCGGCTCTGAGAAGAAGATATGATGGTGCTCCTGTTGGAATGGAGTTTCTTTGATGGAAAGAACAGGAAATAGAGTCCAGGACTGTGAGGGGCCTGCTGAGTTGACCCATTTCTCAAATAAGTAATCAATTGCCCATCCATTTTTTCCTAACCAGCACCCCAAACCTCCCGAGCCACGAGAAATAGGGCATGGAAGGGAGTAGGATTGTCTAGATACCAATCATTAGCTTCATTGTGAGTCTTTGTTTCAGAATTTAGTCTTTCATTACCCAAACCTGATCACACTTTATTTCTGCTACTCACAAACCAAGGAGCAAAGAGCAAATTTAGGGAAATTCTGCACAGCAGTCGTCAGGAAAATGGCATTTTCATGGTAACTTTCATTTTCCCTTAAAACGACATCTATGAGTTCTCTATAAGCAAGTGTACATCGTCTCACTCTTTTTGTTTTAATGGCTGTATGATATTTAATTGTATGGACGTACCATGCTTATTTTATCATTCTCCTGTTGACAAGCAAGTGGCTGCTATTTATTTGACATTACAAACAA